CACATTTTTATGCGTTTTGTGCTGTAATAACTGCACAAAACGTGTATTATCGAGTCCTTGTCTGTGTGTGTTTACGCATGCATGTGGGTATGTGTGTGTGTGTGTTCCGAATGCATTTTATTAGCATTTATTCAGTTGTTGTGGTCGAAATTACTTCCCTACTGACATTTCTAAAATCTGCTATACTTATATTCTAATACTTTGATTAGCAGCAGTCATAATCTGACAAGTCGAAGATTATCAATCGTTCTGCATTTCGTTCATGTCTCGATGATAAATTGGTACTGTCATATACCAGGGAATCACTGGTTGCTGTTGGCATTTGCTACCACTCGAACTACATCCCCAATGCCTCAGTAGTTCTTGCAAGCACTTAGCAAAGCTTTAGCCCTTCCTTTTTTTTTATGTCATTGGTCTACACTGAGCACTACCGCCATGTCTAGAAAGTTCTCGCTTCTACACCACGAACCTAGGTATCTCCTTGATTAGGCGTCCGCTCAAATGCATATCACAAAATGTTGTTAACTACATAGACGGGGTTTTTTTCAATAATTTTTTCGCGGTGCCTAGATTTATTCGCATAAAAGTGAAGCTTTTTAAGCCATGCTTTAGTGAGTGATATTGGCGAGAAAATAAATGACCGCTCGGTGATCAGTTTTGGGCACATACAGGTGGTGGCTACTAATTGAAGGTATGCACTCTAAGTTTTAAAGGCCTAGCACAACTGCGTCAGGCGTATGGGACCATCCCAGTTTCCATCACTAACTTGAGATACCCACACCGATTTTCCTATGTATTCCTGACATGTTAATTTTGGTTTTTGTTCGAAATTTCATATTGGAGTTTTCATTTTGTAAGGGCATTAAAAGTTCTTTCCAAGAACATCAATATTTCACGTGATGGCTCACACGTTTCACATGCTCGAAAAGTTTTTTTAATTTAAAAAGTTTTGCTTTCTTAGTTTTGCTGTGCACTATCTCATCCTGGAGCACGGTTATTACACAGCACAGCTGGGTGCCGAAGATGTTTGGTTCATATCAAATGGAACTTGTATGCCACGAAATGTTGATGAATTACCCGAAGATATGAAGGTAAAATTCGTTTTTTTGCATGAGAATTTCATGAAACGACAGAAACAGCAAGGCTTCTGAATTGGAATTTTCTACGATGGGATTTTCTGGAATATTTCTACTTAAGCCTGGCCACTAATTCCTGAACCATATTGTTATGTAGTGGTACTTAAATAATTGAAAAACCGACACCACACTGCCCCCTTTTTTAGTACTTCAGTGCTGGATTAAGCTGGGTTTTTTCTCCTAAATAAAGCCTCCGAAAAACTCGAACTTGCTTCCAAGATTGCCTTGTTAATTGGTGCCCCCGCCTCTAACGCAAGCGAAATAAAGGTTTTTTTTTTACATTTTGATTACTAATTGACAAAAAATTCATAATTTTTGTCAAGTTTTACTTTTTATCGCGCAAATTTTTCTTATCCTTGTTCTTTTTTTTGGTTGCACAACAAAGCAAGTTCTTGTTGTTTGCTGTAGTTTATGCTCCCCATTATTTAGGAATCAATTCCAGCAGATCGAAAATGGCGTCAGGAGAAGCTTTACAAGCAGATGACAAATATATGCATCGATGAAGTAGCAATGCCTTTACGCAGACTGAAACTTATGCCCGAGGAATTAGTTACACTTAAAATTATAATGCTCTATCGATACGGCGGACGCAATCATGAATGTTCCAGTAATCGATTTTTCAGTTTAATTTGTTTTTGTCCGTTTTTACATCTATATGCAAATGCAAAAACGCATATTGTCAGGACCTTGTCGGTATGTGCGTATGTATGAATGTACGTATGTATGTATATATGTATGTATGTATTATTGTATGTATGTATGTATGTATGTATGTATGTATGTATGTATGTATGTATGTATGTATGTACGTATGTATGTATGTATGTATGTATGTATGTATGTATGTATGTATGTATGTATGTATGTATGTTTGTATGTACGTACGTATGCGGGTGGGTATGCATATATGTATGTTCGATTTTTGTCACCCACATTCAACTCAGCAACCACAGAAGCTAGGAAGCTGAAATTTCACAAGGATGTTCCCAGTCTATGTACGAAACAAACGGCTTACAATCTGTGTTCACGTACACTTGAGTTTTTCCCAATATTTTTCAGTTTCTAGCTTATAAGAAGTCTTACAGTAGTCTAGAAGTGCCAACGTCCTGGCGAGATTGGTGTGTCAGCACATACCCGCTACATCTCGAAACGGCTAAGTCCTTGCTAAGAGTTTAAAGCGATATTTTCAAGCTAATCGTCAGAAACGATATTTTCAAACTAATGCAGCATTCATATTTATTTCTGATGTTTTTCTTGGAGTTTTGATTCACGTCCTATAATAACGAGTTTTTTTTTTTTTTCTACTACTT